CATAAAACTTACTTAAAGGTGGTGACAATATAAAAAGTGAATGTTATCTTTTTGTTAATAGAAAATTGATTAAAATCTATCTTTAAAAAAAATGTGGTATTTGAGTTGAAAATCAGTTGGTGGCTGTAGGACACATTAAATAGGTCAAGTTTTAAAATCAGGGTCCTTTAAGACACTGGGTCAACCGAGGACGGAGAAGAAGACTACAAGTCTTATGAGGTATTTTCCGGCCCGTTTCTATTGGTTGCCCTCAGCGTGTGACCCTAAAACTCTTGCTCTAATTGGTCGAATTTCCTCAAGGCGTTCCGGATTGAGCGAAACCCCTCGCGTTCTGATTGGCTGATCCGTCCAGTCTGGGTGGTGGATTTGTAAAATCGGATGCATCGGCGAGTCGCTGTTGGGCGCCGTCCGTCCGTCCGGCATGTCTTCTTTACAGCGGGTTAGGAATAATATTGTATAGTCCATTGAAACGTTACAGGTAAGTTTTCCTTAAACTGTTTAGCTTATGTTACCTTGTGCACACAAACTATAAAGTGAGAGTTTGAAGCATGGCCGGAAATTTTTTTTAACGTTCCGTAAAATGACAGATCTCGGCTACGACTATTGCCTGGTGCGGTACCAGCTACATTGTGGGTGACGTTGGGGGTTCGCAGCACCATAAAGCCGTGACACAGTTACGGTGCTCTTTTAAGAGTGTTTGGTGAGCTACATATTTACGAAATACAACTTCTGGATAATATAATCTGAAGCGTGACCATAAATTCACGTCAGACAGATGGATTGTTGCTTCCAGCAAATAGACGACGCTCAATTTTCAGCGAACCGCCGCTTCCAATTATCCGCAAACACTCACTGATGTGTTTTTGTTCAAAATTTTACATCTTGGAATTTTCCAGAAGTCTCTAGTGTGAAGGTTAACAAAATATTTTTAGATATAAACAGATAAACTTTTCGTTTGCTGGTTGTTGTGTGTGCGAGTTGATTGTTTGCAGTCAAAGTAACAGGCGATGACTGGTCGCCCGATTTCAATTGATGAGCAGATTTTTCCCCTTAATCCTTCATCTTCTGCCAGGACTACTTCTGATTTATGTCAGATGACTGAATACAGAGTTTACGGATATTTTCTCCGCTGTTCGAGAGCCTTTCCTCCTTTTGAACGTAACCAATCTAATACAATTAGAAACTATTAATCCTAAATTTGGTTGTTTCAAGATGTTAGTAAACAACAAAATACTTTTTTTCTCAGCGAAAAAAAAAGCAGAAGTCATTAAACTTATTCTGTAATATGGGATGATATGATGTTTTTTTTGGTTTTGTGTGATGGACAAGAAGTCTTTGACTGTGTTTTTTTAAATTGTTAGTCTCCTAATTGTCTTGAATTCTGCTGGCTGATGGTGTGTTCATATTCTTCATTTGAGAATTAGCTCCCAGCCTAGAATTGAGGAAATTAGCTGCAAGCCTTTTAAGTGCTTTTGTACGGATGTGTTACCCCGCTCTCTGTTGTTTTTTTGTACGTCTGTATTTGCAGAAAAGGCCAGACACGAAGTAAAAGAGTGTATGAGAGGGCAAGGGGATGTTGACATATCCCTCTGACTTGCTCCCTCAGATTTATTTTCCAATGGATGAAGATGCAATTCCCTCAATCCCTGTCTGTAGTGCACCTGTCTGTACTGAACCTCCACCACCTCTCCTTCCCCTTTCCTCCATCACTCCCAGGTATAGTTGTTGTGGCACCTTTTGGTTTATTTAGTTGTTTTCCCCCTTTTTGATTTGAGCCTTTTCAGTTGATTGATGGATCCACAGTAATAAATGTATTCCTATCCCTCCTTTGATTTAGAATGTGCCTTATTATCCTTCATAGTAATTAAGTAACCAAATAGCAGAGTTGACCTAAACCTAGGTGAACTTTCTGGAAGCTTTCACAAGATCTGTGAAAACATTTTTGTTCAGTTACAAGAGTCTGTTGCCTTTTGAAGGGTAGACATTTGCATAAAAATGATAGTTTAAGAATGCAGATATTTTTCATTTATCCTGTTTATAAGTTTAGATCAGGGTTGCATTACAATGATAGTTTTTTTTCTCAGTTTATTTGCATCAAGAAGGGCAGTTTTAGCTTTTTCCTTGTTCTTTGTTGTTACTCATACTTAGCTTTGCCAGTGATGGACTGTCTGGACACAGAAGGAGTGGTCGAAATCAGGGGACCAGAACCCAAACTCCCAAAAAGCAGGATAACGCAGACAGCCAAGCCGTCCAGAGACCATCCCGACAAAATCCGTCCCTCACAAAGAGACAAAGGGAGAATGCACTCATGGTACGGCCTTTAACCTCATAGTCAAGTTCAGTGCCTGATTAGTAGTGGATTTACTCTCCTTTAATGCATTCATTTTTCTTTTTATTTGTAGGTTCAGGAGTCAAAGCAGCCCAGAGTTGAAATTGTACACGAGGAAACAAACAAGGTCTGTTTCCTTTCCACGAGCTTTGTTTTCCTCACGGCTTCCTTTTAATGAGAGGAACTCCGATCCAAACTCAAACATTCATGTCTTTGTGCTTGATATAATTTCTCATGGTTGGAGGCCATCCTTTTTTAATAATCAGAAGCTGCTTTGTGGTGCTGAGCAGTCAGAGGTGTGAGGTTTAATTGCTTTAATCCTCCTTTACGGTCTGCTGCATCTGAGACAAACAAACAAAGTCTTAATGTGACCTACAAAAGCAAACGAGGCTTCAGCACTTGGGTTGTGTTAAATCAGTTTTAAGAAAAAAAAAAAAAAAAAGACATTTTCAGCATGAAAATGATTTTAAAAACAAAAAAATACAGGCTTTTGGTCTTAGTAAAACTCTTTTATTGTCGGCATCTGTATTTTTCCTTATTTTTTAAAATGTAAAAATTAGAATTGTAAATTGGGTTGTTAATTTGACCAGCAACAGAAAAACTTGCTGTTTAAACTATAAAGTTAACCGTGATTGTTTTTAATTTTCAGGAAGGATTTGGTGCCGGTTTTACTGCTGAGCAACAGAATCTGTAAGTCTGAGATTATCTTTATTTTAGTCTTTAAATGCATGTTGATTGAGCAGTTAGTAAGACTTTGAAAAGAGCCGGGGGGGTAGTTTGATTTATTACCTTTTGTTTTTGTTTGAAAGAATTCCTTGTTTTAGTTTTTCTTGCAGGCAGCTTGACTCCAAAGGCCTGCAGAAGGAAAACAACGTCTCATCTGAGGAGACCGTAGTTGACCCATTTGAAGAAAAGACTCAAGAAAATCGTGATGCAGCCGAAGTGGAAATGGACCTGTGTGGAGAGCTGGTTTCTGAGGGTGTGGGGGGCCATGCCGCGGCCCCAACGGGTTGGGTGATCGGGCCGCTGTTTCAGTCGCTGAAATCAAAGATGGCCAGCTTTACAGACATAGTTATGACTCCGGTTAAACTCTTCAGAGCCAACAGCCCCCCGCTGCCCACAGACCATTTGGAGGCGCTCGATGACTGTGAGCTACAGGCCGACGAAACACCACAACCACACCGACAAAACGAGAACGAGAATCAGAGCGTTCCAACCAATCAGGAGAGCCTCTCCAGCCACGAAGCTGAGAAGAGAGCAGCAAGGAAATATTCCAAAAGACTGGACTTCAGAGAGCCGTCCACGCAGCGGCCTGAGCAGGCTCTTGAATGTGCAGTAAATCAGATGGAACAAGTGTTACCTGATTTAGTGCCTTCTCCACTCAACCCCTCCCCCCCTCTGGTGTCTGAGCAGGTTTCTGAATCTTTTGCGCCAAATGTAAGTTCCTCCAGAGCCCTGGGGCCCTCCGCCACAGTAAGTGCCTCGCGGGAGTCCAAGGTAAAGAAAAAGTTCAAGAATGGGTCGGAATCAAAGAAGTTTGACTCCAAGCCTCCAGCCTCTGAGGATCAGATCAGTGACCAGCGGCCTTCTCAGAAGAACTCGGTTCGGTCAAACAATCTTTTGACCGACTCGAACCAAACGCTGTCTTTGTCCTCTGCGGCCTGCGACGGCCAGCCCGATGCAGTCGGCCTTCGGCCTCTTGCCACAAACGCAGAGGGTTTCCCGGTTGTTGAGCAAAGCCTGGGGACTAACGGGCCAAACCCCCCGCAGCTGAAGTGGCATCAGAGCTCCGACGCGTGTCCGGCCTCGGGTTTGGTGAGAGCTAAGAGGGGGCTGAAACTCAATTCTGATCTCCAGGACTCGGCAAAGAGAACAAGAACGGCAGCTTTTTCACAGCTAAATGAAACGCAAAGCCTTGTGTCGTTAAGCGCAGCTTCGGAGGGCGAGGCGCCGCGGGCAGCGAGGAGAACCGCCGGGCCTCTGAATGCCGGCTCAGACCGGAAAGAAAAGTGTAAAAAGGACGTGTTAAGAAAAGTGAGCAGGAAAGGAAAGGGCACAGAAGAAACGCCTGGTAGGGGAAATGAAGCGGTGACAATCACTCCAAATGACAGCTGCCCTGACCCAGATTTGGCTAGCAGTCTGCCAGAGGACGCCTCAAAGGGCGGCAGAGCGAAGCCCAGTGGCTCCTTCAAAGCCCTCAGTAGCCTTCATGCAAACACAGATAACTGCATGGATCTAGAAACAACGGTAGCCATCCGCTCTGCCAAACAAGCTGAGGAAAAGCCCTTTTCAGAAGTCCTTATCCGTCCTGAAATTAAGCAGCTCCAGTCAACAAGCAAGGTCAGGAATACGAGCAAGAAACCACTAAAGAGGAAATCGCCAAATCACACGAGTCCAGTGACTGAGTGGGACAGCAGTGTGGAGTCTACCTCATCAGTTAGAGCGTCTGAAGCTACCCCTGCCGGTCTCACCAGCTCTGAGCACGCTCACAAAGGGAAAACCTTAACCAGAGGACCGGGCCAGTCCACCAAGAGACCCAAAAACGGTCTCGTTAGGGCCGTTGGGTCCACCGAAACTCAAGGAACGAAACAGGGTTTGAACAACTGTCATTTCACAACCAAAGAAAGCCAGTTGAAAAGTGTCCGAGGCAAATGCTCTGTGGACCCTGTGTATTTTGAAATGACGCCGTTCGAACTTAACCCCCAGCCCCTCCCACCCACCTTCCCACCGGGTTCAGACTCCCCCGTATGGTTAGGCAGTCAGGATCAGCGGACAGAAGAGAAGGAAGAGAAATCCGCCTCTTTGACCGGCGAGACGTTTCTGACAGACTCTGAAATGAGCAAAAGAACCAGCAGATCGAGCACGCGGCCCATTAACGCGAGGCAAAGGAGGGCCGATAACCCGAGGAGGAGGAGTCGAGTTTTCCACCTCAGGCCCCAAAAAGCCCCCGAGGAGATGCCGAAGTCCGTCTCCCTGGAGGACGCCGACCTGGCCGCGTCGCAGCTTTCCGGGGAGCGCTGCTCCCGGCGCCTCCTGCGCAGCTACTCCTGCCCCGAGATCCCCACCCTGCTCCCCGCCGACACGCCCTGGGCCCCATCGCACCCGGGCAGGACGCACCGCCACCATGACCACTACCTCCACCCCCTCCACCACCACCTGCACCACCACCACAGCGCGTTTGAGTCTCACGCCCAGAGGACGGCGCGGCGGGCCCGCCGCCACACGGTGTGCAGCGTGGAGGTGGAGAGGGAGATCGCCCCGCTGTGCCTCCGGAAGGAGGTGTACCCGTCCCGGAGGCCCGCCCCCTTCGACCCCCTGGCCCAGCACATGGCCCCCACCCACACGCACTCCCCCAGCACCTACCTGTCCGCCCTGGCCTCCTGCTTCCTGTCCAGCCCCCTGGCTTTCCTCTCGAAGAAAGTCGACGGCAAAGCGGCCCCCTCCGGTCCCGGCGCCCCCGGCAACGCGAGCGCCCCCCCCTCCTGCTCCTCGCCGTCCGCGCTGAGCTCGTCCAATCGGCACCCTCCGGTCTCCGGAGCAGGAACGGACCCCAGCGCCACCATGGACTGCAGCAGCAGGTAAGGCGACCTGCCTCCCGACACCCCCCCCCCCCCCCCCCCCCCCCCGGCGCCCGGTCGGTGCTGACGCTGGCTCTGCTTCCTTTAAAGCGCGGACCAATCCCAGCGGGAGGCCGAGAGCAGACAGCAGAGCGAGGAGGAGGACGACGGCGAGGACACCAGCTCCTCCAGCCCCGAGTTTGAAGATGCGGGCCTGAGAGAGGAGAAGGCTCTGTCTGACTCCGAGATCAAGGTGTGTTTTCACTCATTTTTTAGCATCCTTTCTTAGCTTGTATGAGTAATGAGACCGGTTTTGG